TTTTTTTTTTTTTTTTTATGATTTCTAGCCAGTAGAAGATAGAAGGCGTGTTCGAGCCATTCTACCTTACACAAAAGTTCCAGACACTGATGAAATAAGGTATTTTATAATGTATTCTCATTTATAGGCATTTGACACACTTGGAAAACATTGCTCTTGGACTAGGAAGGTTTTGGAATTTGAGGAGATAGCATTGTAGCAGGATGAAGGTACCTTTAATATTGAGTTCATTGTTCCTGTACTCTTGTGTTTGGCTTATTTGTTCAGAATATGGATTTGGATCAGAGTGGCCACAGTGAAGATGACAGAAATAATTCAGCTTTTATTAGACTATCTCTGACAAAGTAAGGATAATTGTTATATTCTGTACTCTCCTTTAATTTTTATTACTACATGGCATTTATATCTTAACTGTAATTTGTACTTAAATGATGACCAAACTTCTATTTTACATGATGGGTGAATAGTTTAAGTGTGGCATAGAACTACAGAACGTGATAATCTTTAGAAATTATTTTTATATAATTTGATTTATATATAATTTGTTTTATTATTTTTACATAAACTGATTTGTTATATAATTTGATACTTATCAAATTATCAGTGTCTTTCTGTAAGCTGTTTAACTTTACAATAGAAAATTTATTTCTTGCTGGCAAAATGTTTACTGATTCTGAGTATACAGCTTCTCACTGAAATCAACAGCAGCATTTAAAATACAGCGATAACTTTGGGGCATAGTGAAATTTCTAAAAATAGGATAATTTAAAAAAGACTCAAGTATCTGGAATTTCAAAATAAGGATTCCATTTTTATATGATTGTCCACCAAATAACTTCTCATTTAGTTTTTATTGGCGTACCTTTATTTGTGATCTAAGCGGGAAAAGCAAATGAAAGAAAACGAAGGAAGGAAATGTATACAATAATGAAGAACAATGGTGAACTACAAATTCAGGAAGTTTGGATAACCTGTAAATTCCCAGTGAATCATCTAGAACAGCAGTGCTCAAAGTGTGATCCATGTAACTTCGAGGATCCTTGAGATCCCTTTAGAGGGTTCACGAGAACCAAACTGCTTTCTAAATAAGACTAAGATAAAATATACCCTTTCCACTGTGACATACATGTACACTGATGGTACAAGAGCAACGAGCAGAGCAGTAAATCTATTAGGACCTTAGGACAGATTAAGGCAGGGGCACCACAGTGTATGGTGTTCTTCACTGCCACACACTTAGAGGTAAACAGTATCAACCAGTGTCCTCTAAGGTTTTCTTGGTGCAACTACAAAACGGATTTTATTAAATCTCAACCCTTTTAATATTCTGTATGATGACTATCTTTTTAATCTTATCTGTGATGAAAACTGGTGTGATGAAATGGGAAGTATGCACAAAGTGCCTTGGCTGCGTGAGTGGAGCATTGAGTTGAGAGCTGAGGTAGCTTCTGCTTTTGTGTATACCACATATACTTAATAGAATGACTGACAGGCAAACTATGGTTATTCAGACTAGAGGATTTGACTTTTCTTTTTTTTCTTTTTTCTTTCTTTTTTTTTTTTTTTTGGTAAAGTGATTGTTTTATGTTACTTCAGGGGAAATAACTGGCAGTATTTATTGCCAATGACAAAATTTGAGCTTGGAATAAAAAAGGAGGATTTTAGAAACCCTGTATCTGCCATCAGGAGTTTGACAGCTTCCTAAATATAAATAGTTCATGATTTTTCTGATGAGACTGGTGGTGATATTAAAGAATGTGATGTTTTGATTGTGTAAAATGTATTTATGTCTGAAAGGTCTACATAGCTCAGTGAACCAATATTTTCTAAATGAACAATGCACGCTGTTAAAGAATTCTGCCTGGGTAAAGATCCATTCAGAGTGCAAGATGGACAAATATATTTTATTGCAATGGGATACAGAAAGTTCTTGCTGCAGTTTTAGAGTCCACATTACAACTAACCTTCAAGTACCACTTGCTGAGGTTTTGCTGTTACATCATAGAATATCTATAATTATGCAATCTCAAAGGCTATTAAAATACCCTTTTCATGACTACATATTTTTTGTGAGGCCAGATTTTTCTTCATATACTTCGGATAAAAAAACATAAAGCAACAGATTGAATGTAGAAATAGGAGAACCGAGTAGTTTTCAGTTGAAACAGATGTTGAGATTTGCAAAAATGTGAAATAATACTGTCACTAACTTGTAAAAATATAATTTTTCATATTCTTTATGTTATATATAATGGGGTGTATTTTTTTAAGAATTAGTAAATACTTTAAAACATTTATATTTTAAATCTAATATGATAAATCTAAATGGGTAGAATTTATATAAATCAAAGCCTTTTAGGTTGTAAGTTTTTAAGAGTATACAGAGCTCCTAAGAGAACCTCAAAACTGAGAACTACTGCTAGGAAGATGAAAATTTAAACAAAAATTAGAATGTGCACCCCAAGATCAAGAGTTGCGTGCTCCACCAACTGAGCCAGCCAGGTGCCCCTAAGTCTTTTAAAATTTGTATATATCTGTGAAGTTTTTTTGTTTTGTTTTGTTTTTAGGTAAAAACATCTGAAGAGTAATGAGATTTAATAAGGCGTTTTAACCTTTTTTGAGGAAGAATGCAAAATAATACATAAAGAATCTTGTGATTGTATTGTTTGTGCTAGTAAGCTTTTTATTTTAATTTTTTTTTTCATTTTTGCACCCTAGTGTTCTAGCAACAACAAAAGTCAAAATTAAAAATACAAATTCTCTTATGGTTACTTTTGACCAAGAAATGTAACTTGTCACTTCTCCTTTCTCTTTTACTTCTTGTCCATATGTATTCCTTTTTTTACTCATAATTAATATTTTTTTAATGTAGTTGTTTAGGAGGTTGGTTTTAGAAAGAAATAACATATTTGGCTAAGAGGTAATGTCTGCTGTCTGCTGCTCATCAGTGAGTGAAATACTGGTCACTGTTAACAAGGATTGTAGTGTCAAGATAGAATGCAGTGTATGTCATGCTCATTCACATAGCGATCACCCAAAGTATTGTGTACAAGTTTTCTTTTCTTGAATTTGTATAAGAAACAGGCTTGAGATATTCTGGAGAAAAACGGTTTTCAGAAGTATGAGAAAAGATTTATTTAATGGAAGTTTGGTTTCTGAAAATTAAGATTGAAAGGAAAATTGATTTAAAAAAATATTTGACAGACATGGATATAGATGTAGGGTTAATGGTAGCAGCCAATCAATCTTGAAACCTTAAATGTTCATAGGCATTCATTCAGGCTTAAAAGGACACTTCAGCGAATTACTGATGTTGATAGACGGCATCAGTATAAAACTAACTTACTCCTCCTGTGATTTGGTGGAGGTTGCAAACATCTGGATTCCAAGGAAAAGAAACTAGTTTGTGTGTTACCCTTTACTCAGAAATTTGTAACAGAAAAAACATTCATACATTTTCAAATGCTTTACTACCACTTTCAAACAAAAAGAATGCTATGTAGTATCATGGGTATCTAAGTAAATTAAATAAATCTTAACGTTCTTTATGAGAAAAATATTAATTCTCATAAACATATGCTGACTAGACTAATGGTGCTTATTCAAAATAAAGTTTTTCCAAAGTAACTGTGTCTTGTTTATGTGTAATGAATTAACTATATTATGATTTTATATCTAAACCATATCTGAAAGATAATTACACAGAAGCTTAAATTTTTAAGTCAGTTTTCTTGGGAGTTACACCCTAAAGCTTGTAATGCATATATAATTATTGTTTACAAACATTCCATTTTGAATGTAATAATAATCCAGTGGTGCAGATACATTTACACGTGATGAAATTAAGATTCGGATTGTTAAGTGGCTTCAAAGTTTTACATTTAGGTGATGCCAAAAACAGGACAAAAATCCAGAGTATTTGACTTTAATTTCTTGCATTTTCCAGTATCATAGTATCTCTTGTATTACGTGATTAGTCGTTTTTCCCTGTTTAAAACTTTAATTCAATTTTAATAACTTCATAATTGTCACTTTCAGTTTCCTAAAAGGAGATATGTTTATTGTTCATAATGAATTAGAAGATGGATGGATGTGGGTTACAAATCTAAGAACAGATGAACAGGGCCTTATTGTTGAAGACTTAGTGGAAGAGGTGGTAAGTTTTGTTCTTTTCTTCTCACTCTCAGAATTGTCAGTGTTTTGTACATTTTTGGAACTCGTCCATAATCATGGAAATTAGTTGTGAAACATTTTTTTTAATGAGAAACCTAATTCCTAAGTACAAGGAATTTTTCATTAAAATGTATTTACTGTAATAAATGTTATTTTTTGTAAAGACCATAATTAGGCTAGCATGTTTTAATCTTTAACTGCCAGTTTTCAGAAAGTTTTTATGAGTTTCTAAGAATAAAGAACATTAACATTTGTACTTACTTGTATCTCCTTTTGTCGTCTTGGTGGTTTTTCTCTTAAGTGACATTATGTCAAACTGATCATGGAAATCTCATTCAAATAGTTGTTCATGTTTGCTTTCAAATTCTTCATCTCCCAAATATATGTATAACTTTCTAGTAACTTTGGAAAAGCTTAGTTATATTACACATACATTATCACATGTTTCTACATTTTCAGTTTTTCCATTTTTGTTGTCACTACATAATATAGTATTAGAAATCTTATCACTATAAAAAATTGTGCATTTCTTAATAGCAGGTCTGCGTTCAAACAGTATTTGCATTTCGGAGATAGTACTCAGTATCACTGAATCATATCCAAAATATTACAGTTTTGGAATTCACCCTTCTTTTTGGATTTGGTTAGGGTGATGGAATGGTTTCCTTTTATCTTTCATAACCTTCAGAGCTACTGTTTTTAAAATATGTCATGAACCTGGTAATATTCTGAAACCTGTGCTTTGATTATTGTTGCAGGAAGACAGCAGGGGAGAATATTTGTCTTTGTTATTCTTTTGACTAATAGAACTTGATATGTAAAAGTAAAACATACTGACGAAAAGTGGAGGGAGGTTGAGGAAATGGTATGATAAATTCCATACACATAGTTACTTAATAGAGGAGCTGGCATTAGAACTTCTAATTCCTAGGTTACTATTTGGAGTTTTACAGTAGGAAGGGATATTTATTCCATATAGGCCAGAAGTGTTCAAACTGAAGAATCTCACTGGTTTTACTTATGAAATTTCTTAGTTAAAATTTTTTATGTTGGATTTTTTTTTTCTCCTTGCTATAACCCCCTTTCCCCCATTTTTCTGATTATTTGAAGGATTTATAGTATAGTTTAACTTTTCTTTAGCTCTTGAATTCTGGGTCAAATCCAACTAGGTAAACTTTAAGAAGAATAAGTGTAAGTTATCCAAGGAGTACAGAAAAAAAAAAAAAAAAGCTCAATTTAAGGTAAAGAGACATGACCTCATGTCAATAAAAGGAAAAAAATAAAAACAATAATTCAGTATGAACAAAAAATGTGATGTAGCTGCTAAAAAGGAATATAGTCATACTTTGGATTAATAGTGGAATAGTTTCAAGGTAGAATTATAAATAGGTTTCACACTAATATGTATAATAAGTTTTCATAATGGTCTTCATTGGAGCATAGTGATTCCTTGTAGGTTGAAAAGCCATTTAGAGATTGTCTAGATTTCAGACATTACTTTGGTGGTTGGATTTAAGGATTTTCCCGCTCTGAACTTCTGATTACTGTTGTCCAAGCACATTTATACTTTTATGCCTTAAATCTAGAATGTAAGCTCTGTGAGAATTTTTGTCTCTAATTCAGTGATGTATTCCCATAGCAGAATAGTGTCTAGTATTAGTAAACATTCAGCAAATGTTTGTTGAATGAATATCTCTTTGCCTATACTTTCTCCTCTTCCTTGACACTCTTGCCCTGCTACACCACTAACTTGTAAAATTTGATTCATTTTTATCAATTCAGCCCAGATGTTGCCCCTTTTTTCACAGAGGTTTTATGCCTATCTTAGTCTAAATTGTTTTCTCTTGTGTTTTTATAGCACCTTGTTAATTCTGTATTTTACTACACTGTATAAAATTAATTTATGGTGTAAACCAGTTCTATAGAGATGAACTCCTTTTGGGCAATGATAATACATTTTGTTTTTGTGGGGGTTTTTTTGTTTGTTTTTTAGCATACTGCTTTCATATAGTAGGCATTCAGTGAGTGTGTGGTTTTACTTTGGGTAGGTATTTGATGAGTGAGGAAAAATTGAGGGAAGTAAATCCATGGACAGATAGACTATTTTTCTACTCTTTCCTTCATTATTCAGTGAAGACTTGGTGCCAGATACCCAGTTTTGCTGGGTTCTAGAGGTACACCTCAAAAATATTCAGTGCAACCTATATGAACAGCATTGTGCTAGTGATTATGGTGGTGGCAGGTGTTAAAGAATAGGTAAGAGGTTACGATGCATGTAGCCACTATACCGGAATGAATAAATAACGCCAGTGTATCTTAAATAATAGGAATGCCAAATAGATAAGGTTAAAAAGATGATAAAAGAAGGATGTCTTTTTGATTTAAAGTAAAAGTTTATATTTATGTTCTAGGGACTCATTGTTTTACTGAGGAGGTAGTATTTGAAGAAGATCCTACCTAGATAGTAGGAAACAGGTAGGAAACAGTGAGTGAAAAAGACATCCTAGGTTAAAAAGAATAAGCTAGGTGGTAGGAGAATGTGGATCAGCAAATAGGTAGTTATGTGTGACCATGGTATAGATAGCTTAAGAGAGTTGGTAGTATGAGACAGGAAATGTAGACTTGAGTTCTATGATAAAGGATTTTGGTTTTATAAAAGGAATTTTTAGGAAGTAGAGCAGTATTAAAGGTTTGGTTTTTACATTTTGTTTGTTTGTTTGTTTGTTTTTTGTTTGGTGTACCTTAGTGCAGGACAAAGTTGCAGTTGAAACTGAAGAATCCAGATTGGAGTGGTGAGATCGTGGGGTGAGACAGGGCACAGAGGTAATTAAACTAGTTCGGCTTTGGTAACTGTTGAAGAAAAGAGAACAAGGGCCTGGATTAGAGTAACCACAACAAGTAAGGGAGAGAGTCTTAGAAAGACATTTCTTGAACTGATACATCTTTTCTTGTATAAGTAAATATTAGGGACAGGGTAGAGATGTGTTTGAAGATATGATTTTTATTAACTTTAATGAAAATAGATGTAATAGTTAAAACTGTATAAAATACTGTCTTAATATCTTATCCTTTAGGGCCGGGAAGAAGATCCACATGAAGGCAAAATGTGAGTTTGTGTTAATTTTTAAATGGAAAAAGGAACTATGTTGTAAACCTACTAATTGGAAAACTTAGGCCAAAATTTATTTTAAAAGAAAATTGCTACTTTGGGAGCTGACTTAAGAATGGTTTTTATTTGGCTCGAGAACTGGTATGTTAAAATTTTCTTTAGGATCTATGGGTAGTTTTATTTTTAAATAACGATGGTGGCTTTTACTATATAGAACTCTTCTAGCACCAAACTAAAGGCTTTTCTATAAACAACATTAATAACATCATGAATGTCATGATTCATAATATTTTTGTTTCCTTACTGATTTATTTATAGCATTTCTTGTTTTTGTAACCACATCTTTTGGGTATTTTATGTTTCAGTTTTTTTCAGTTTGTTTTGTGTGAGAGAGAGAGAACTTTTCAGCAAGATCATGACTCTTTACCGTATTTATTAAGATTCTACAAGGCCTTTTTTTTCATAATCTTTCCAGGCTGATTTTAGGTATCTTGTAAGGGCTAATTCAAAGACCAGGTATTACTGTACTTAATATTTGCCACAGTCATCTCTTGTATTTCAGAAGTTATTAGCTGTTAACAATAACCTCCTATGGGAAATTTACTCTGATTTTGTTATTGTCCTTGGAGATCTATTTTAGTGTTTTGCTCATCCCTCATTTACTGTGCATAAAAATTTTCTTTTAAAGACGTTAACTCTTGATCCCAATTCTGTCTTACTCATGATTTTAATTAAGACCGTTCATCTTTTGATCTCTTTTCAGTGGAACACTTTTTTTCCTTACCATCCTGTCAGTGTTGATGAATGCAATTTAAAGGTGCCTCTCAAGTGTTTGCTTATTCTCTTTTCTAACCATTAGAATACAAAAACAGTAAGCTGAATTCTCCACTTTCAGTAAACCTCACTTAGTTCCTGACGCTTCCTTTAAGTAGAACATATGAAATGTTTTCTGAATCTATTTTCCTTGTTGTTTGTGTAGGTGCAAAATAGCCTCCATGAGTGAGAATGGTACATTGTTGACTGTATTTGTGTGAAGTTTTCCCTCTACCTGTATCACATTACAAATTCTAATTAGTGTTTGGGGGAGGCATACTGATAATGTAAGCAAATGGAATGGGTCAGGTATAAATATTCTTATTTTTCCCAAATTAAAATAATGCTGATCTTTCTTATTTTCCTTCTATGATGAAGATTAAGGTACATGGAACTGGCTCCCTACAGTACAAACAACAGTGCAAAGTATGGTGATACATGGCAGTTAACATTCTCTCTTTGTATTAGAGAGTGGGAAGCCAAAAACTAGTAATGTTTCCCTGCAGTAAGTTGACTGCTGTAATTGATGTGTGCAAAAACGGGAGTCCAGTGTTGCGAGATCTTCGTGATTTTCAAGATACAGTTGAAATCTGTATTTTTATCTCTATTTAAAATAATACCATAGATATATTTTTAAAAGAAAAGAAAAAAAATGTTGGTCACATGCCACTAAATATTTAAAGCTTCATCCAGTTTTCTCACAGCATAAAGTATAAATCCCACTTTTGCTGGGAATGTTTTTTAGTTAGTACATCTCTGAACTTTGTAATTATCTACTCATTTGGTATTTAGTGTAAGCTAAATTTGCGCTGTTGACTTATTTTATGTATTTCTCAGCTCCCTCTAATTTCTTAAGGTGGAGACTGGCAGTGAAGCAACCTCAGTAGCATCCATGAGTGCTCTTTGAGACTAAACAAATGTAACTTGAACTGTGTTTCTTTCTGGCTCCCTTTTAACAATGATATAGACATCAAGTCCTGATAATTTTGTTTTCTAAAATATTTTTTTTTTTTGAACATTTATTATTGAGAGACAGAGAGAGACAGCATGAGCAGGGGAGGGACCGAGGGACCGAGGGACCGAGGGACGGGGAGACAAAGAATCCAAAGCAGGCTCCAGGCTCTGAGCTGTCAGCACAGAGCCCGACACGGGGCTCAAACTCACAAACTGCGAGATCATGACCTGAGCTGAAGTCAGACGCTTAACCGACAGAGCCACCCAGGCGCCCCTAGAATATTTCTTGAATGTGTGTCTTCTTCTCAATCTTAAGCAACCATACTCTAGTTCAGGCCCTTTTCTTTATTTTTTTTTTAATTAAAAAAACTAATTGACGATAGATGACACACAGTGTTACATTAGTTGCAGGTGTACAACAAAGTGATTGAACAATTCTGTACATGATGCCCTGCGCCCCCCAGGTGTAGCTACCATCTGTCACCATACATCATTATTACAGCATCCTTGACTATATTCATTATGGTATGCCTTTTGTTCCTGTGACTTACTCATTCCAAACTAGAGGCCTGTATCCCCCACTCCTCTTTATTCCTTTGCCCATCCTCCACTCTGGCAACCATCCGTTGGTTCTCTGTATTTATAGGTCTGTTCTTCTAATTTCTTAACAGGACTTGATGTAGCAGTAACCTCCAAGTTGGTTTTCTTTGATGCTTTCAGTCTCTTTAAATCCTTTATTCCAGTAGCAAGCATAATCTTCCTAAAACCCATATCTGACTGCATCACTTTTGCACTTAAAAGCATTACCTTATTCTCTGTCATCTTTACCTTAGCAGAGCCTGAAACGATCCTCTCATCTGACTGTTGTGTCCTTTACTAGTCATATCTCTTTTATGTTTATATTCTACTCTCCAGCTTGTCGATCTTCAAATGTGTAAAACTGTTTTTCACCTTTGTCTAAGCTACTTTCTAGGTCAGAATACCACTGCATTATGTTTGGTTAATTTCTATTCTTACTTAATGACTTAACTCACTTATCACTTCCCAAGAAGTCTTCCTTTATCTTCTCCCTCACATGTTCCATAGAGATGGTGCCCTCCTCTTTTATTCCAAAAATGCCCTCTGTGCATTTCTATCACTGCACTTTATTATATTTTTGACATTGTTTTTGTAGTTATACAGTATTTGTGTTGCTTTTTCTTATTGGAATGGGAACTTTGTAAGAACAGGGACTCCTCTTTCTATCATTGGTGTAAACCATGTGTTTGAAATATGTACATTTTACATATAGGTAATAAATGTCTGAATGAGGAAACTCAGATCTACTTCTTTCACAAAATCATTATTGCCGATTTGTTCTCTAAACCCCGTTTGGTGCTCCTCACTTGGAATTCCCTTGTTTTTCTTTATTCTTGCTATAAAAATATAGGAATAGCCTTTGAGGGTATCTACTCATCTCTCCCCCAGAATATAAAAACCCTGTTCTAGCCTTTGTAGGAAATGGTCATTTAGATTATACTTGAATGCAGTATGGAACCTTACTACCTTTTAAGGAAGCCTGGATTGCTCCAGTTGTTGTGTACTTGCTGTATAGTATTCATAATTTGCATTGAGTTAATGAGTTAATGGTGGGAATAATGTTAAAGAGGGAATTTAAAAGTTTAACATTTCATTCATGTGAAAAGGTAAATATTCAGTTATATTTTGATAAGTAATAGTATGGGTAATTTAAAACAATGTTAACAGCTTCTAAATCTGTAACACTGGGCTTTAGAGCACTTACATGTTTTAGACTTGTAGTATTTTTATTTTCCAGCTATTTTGGGGTATATATCTTTTTTACTGAAATAACACTATACTTATTCATATATATAATTAGCATGCTCAGAAGTAATTTTTAATGTGCCTTTCCAGAATGTATTAAATACAGCACAGTGTTCTGAACACATTCATTCAGTGAAACAACACTGAATTTATTAACATACATAATATACAATGAACTTTTTTTTATGTAGAGGAATTTCTAATTTTTATTAAGAAATTTTTAATTGGAGTATAATTAAATCCAATGTTAAATTTGTTTCAGGTGTACAATATAAATAATTATTCAACATTTCTATATATTACTCAGTGTTCATTGGGATAAGTGTACTTTTAATCCCCCCTATCTGTTTCCCCCATCCCCATGCCTTCCTCCCTCTGGCAACCACCAGTTTGTTCTTTGTATTTAAGTGTGTTTTTTGTATATCTTTGTTTGTTTGTTTATTTTGTTTCTTAAATTCCAGACAGGAGTTGAATCGTATAATATTTGTCTTTCTCCGTCTGACTGACTTCCATCCATGTTGATACAGATGGCAAAAATCTCTTTCTTTTTTATGGCTGATATTCCATTGTATGTATATACCACATTTTTATCCATTCATCTATCCTTGGGCACTT